TCCTACCCACCTCCCAGTACCATCCCTTGATTCCACCTCCTACCCACCTCCCAGTACTACCCCTTGGTTCCACCTCCTACCCAAACCCCCAGTACCACCCCTTGGTTCTACCTCCTATGCACCTCCAACCACCATCCCTTGATTCCACCTCCTACCCACTTCCCAGTACCACCCCTTTGTTCAACCTCCTACCCACCTCCCAGCACCGACCCTTGGTTCCCCCTCCAACCACCATCCCTTGGTTCCACCTCCTTCTCACCTCCTAGTACCACCCCTTGGTTCCACCTCCTACCCACCTCCTAGTACCGCCCCTTTTAGAGAATACAGAATCAAGTATCATTATGTGGTGCTAAGTAATTTGTATGTAATGTGTTCACGATACCAAGAAAAGCAGTAACATACAGTAAATCCCCTGCAGCCAGCAGCAATTGATTCCCTACTACAACAGACCCCCCGGAAACAATGGACCCCCCACAACAAAATACCACCCCAGTAATTATAGATCCCCAGCAGCAACAACAGATCTCCCAGCAACCAGCATTAAAAGGCCCTCCAGCAGCCAGCAACAAAAGACTCCTCCTTCAACAGGAAATCCCTCCCAGCAATAACTGATCCCCCAGCAACATAAGATCCCCCCAGCAACAATAGACCCCCATGCAAAAATAGATTCCCATTAATGACAATAAAAGCCCCAGCAGCCAGCATCAATAGACCCTCCAGCATACCTCAGCACCCCTTGCCATTACACACATTCAGTGCTGGAGGTGCCAGAACTGCGTTCCCCCTGCGTTCCTGCTGAAAAAAAGCACTGATGTGCAGATAGCTGTGTCCACAGATCCTGTACAGTGCAGTGACAGGCGGTTAGTGGCCGCAGGACTGTTCGCACAGCCAACGGTGGACACGCAGAAAGCATCCCAGCCACAGAAATCAATAGATTCTTGCTGCTGGGAATTGCAGCGTGGCTAAACACCCGTGAGAATGCAGCCTAATGGAATCAATTCCTTCCTGACCTCCAAAGGTAATTGGGTAAATCTGTCGCTCAACAACTCTCCGCTGAGTATTTATTATAATTTACGTCTCCATTCACACATGTGCAACTTCAAAATTGTGCAATTTCATTGCGACTTTACAGTGTGACTTGATGCGACTTTGACCCGACTTTGGGTGAGTGCGACTTTGGTGCGGTTTGGCTTTAACCAATGATTGTTTGTGCTGTGCAAAGTTGCACACATGTATACCATTCAGGTGCGACTTTCATTGCGACTTTGGAGGGTTTACATTGAAGTCTATGGCCCTCAAACCTCATGAAAGTCGGACCATAGAGGTGCAGGAACTACTTTCAAGTCGCTGCGACTTGAAGTCGCACAGATATGAATGGTACTCATTGGGAAACATGGGATGCGACTTGTCATGCGACTCTGGACCCCAAAGTCACATGATAAGTCGCACAAGTGTGAAAGGGCTCTTAGGCAACCCTTTAAGGCTCATTCACATTATCGTGTCGCAAGAACAAGCGTTCACGCTACGCAGTTTTACAGCGTGATTTTCACGTGATTCTGCTTGTCGCTTTGGGTCAGAATGGGTTGCTCAATGCGTGTTTGTTACCCCAAAATGAAGCTCCTGCTGCTTTAAAGGTGTGGTGTGCCGTGATTGCCGCATGACAATCGAAGCTGAATCGCAACGCGTTGGAGGTGCCATTGAAGGAAAATGCCATGTGTTCTGCCGTGATTGCCGCATGACAATCGAGGCTGAATCGCAACGCATTTGGAGTGCCATTGAAGGATGATGCCACGTGTTGTGCCGTGATTGCCGCATGACAATCGAAGCTGAATCGCAACGCGTTGGAGGTGCCATTGAAGGATGATGCCACGTGTTGTGCCGTGATTGCCGCATGACAATCGACGCTGAATCGCAATGCGTTGGGGGTGCCATTGAAGGCTGATGCCACGTGTTGTGCCGTGATTGCCGCATTACAATCGAAGCTGAATCGCAACGTGTTGGGGGTGCCATTGAAGGCTGATGCCACGTGTTGTGCCGTGATTGCCGCATTACAATCGAAGCTGAATCGCAACGCGTTGGGTGTGCCATTGAAGGCTGATGCCACGTGTTGTGCCGTGATTGCCGCATGACAATCGACGCTGAATCGCAACGCGTTGGATGTGCCATTGAAGGCTGATGCCACGTGTTGTGCCGTGATTGCCGCATTACAATCGAAGCTGAATCGCAACGTGTTGGGGGTGCCATTGAAGGCTGATGCCACGTGTTGTGCCGTGATTGCCGCATTACAATCGAAGCTGAATCGCAACGCGTTGGGTGTGCCATTGAAGGCTGATGCCACGTGTTGTGCCGTGATTGCCGCATGACAATCGACGCTGAATCGCAACGCATTGGATGTGCCATTGAAGGCTGATGCCACGTGTTGTGCCGTGATTGCCGCATTACAATCGAAGCTGAATCGCAACGTGTTGGGGGTGCCATTGAAGGATGATGCCACGTGTTGTGCCGTGATTGCCGCATGACAATTGAAGCAGAATCGCAACGCGTTGGGTGTGCCATTGAAGGACGATGCCACGTGTTTTGCCGTGATTGCCGCATGACAATTGAAGCTGAATCGCAACGCGTTGGGAGTGCCATTGATGGATGATGCCACGTGTTGTGCTGTGGTTGCCACGCAATTTGGAATCCTGGGCACAATTGAGGTGATTCTGCCTGCGATTCCAATCACAAAGTGTGACTGGAGCCTCACATGATGTCATTTAAAAATGTGTCTTTTGGATAGAACTAGTTTCTGTGGAAGACCGTTCCATATTTTCACAGCTCTTACAGTAAAGAATCCTTTGGTCTCATGCACACTGGGTGGCTCCTGTACATGGGATCCATGTATTTTGGTGCAGGCAGAATCACAGACACCAGACACACCCTCACCCCCATTAAGGAACTATAGGAGGGTCTCAAAGCTCCTGCAGCTGAGTAGAGGTGCACTGTGCACAGAGTGGTACCGGCATTTAGGGCTGCTTCACACTAAAGAAACGCAATCCAGATGCATTTCTGCATGCGTGTTTTTGACGTGTTTTGGTGCAATTTTGATGTGTTCCGGTGCGTTCCAGTTAATTTTTCCCCCTCTCTTTTTCTTCATTTATACTAGGGACATGTGCATTTTGGTGTGTTTTGGTGCATTTCCGGTGCATTTTTTATGCCTTTTCCCGCGTTCCAATACAGTTCTTTGCAGGTAAAATGCAGCCTGTTCTTTTTTTTCCTGCACCCGGAACGCACTGGAACTGCAAACACTGATGTGAACGATGACATTGACAGCCATATAACCTACTTTCTGTGCGTTTTGGATGCGGAAAGAAAGCAACTGAAACGCATGTAGTGTGAACTGGCCCTTAGGGTCGGTTCACACCATAGAAATGCAATCCAGATGTGTTCCGGATGCACTTCTACATGCGTGTTTTTGACATGTTCCAGTGCATTTTTAGTGAGTTTTTGATGCGTTTCAGTGTGCTTTTTATGCATTCCAGTTAATTTTTTCAATTTAAATAGGGACATGTGCATTTCAGTGCGTTTTTGGTGCGTTCCGGTGTGTTTTCTATGCGTTTTTACCACATTCCAGTACAGTTATGTGCAGGAAGAATGCAGCCTGTTCTACTTTTTTTTTTCTGCTTCCGGAATGCACTGGAACTGCAAGCACTGATGTGAACTAAGACATTGACAACCATATAACCTACTTTCTGTGCGTTTTGGATGCAGAAAAAAAGCATCTGAAACGCATGTCGTGTGAACTGGCCCTATAGTTCACACTATAGAAATGTAGTCTAGATGTGTTCCGGATGCGTTTCTGCATGCATGTTTTTACATGTTTTTGGCCCGTTCCGGTGCGTTTTTTTAAACATTTCCTTGCGTTTTTGATGCGTTTCAGTTCATTTTTTTCCTTTTTCTTCAATTTAAATAGGGACATGTTTTCTGGTGCATTTTTATACGTTTTACCACGTTCCAGTGTAGTTCTTTGCAGGAAAAATGCAGCCTGTTCTTTTTTTTCTGCGTCCGGAACGCACTGGAACTGCAAACACTGATGTGAACCTTGACACTGACAACCATATAACCTACTTTCTGTGCGTTTTGGATGCAGAAAAAAAAGCAACTGAAATGCATGCAGTGTGAACTGGCCCTTAGGGTCGGTTCACACTATAGAAACGCAGTCCAGATGTGTTTCGAATTCGTTTCTGCATGCGTGTTTTTTCACGTGTTCCGGTGCGTTTTTGGTGCATTTATGATGCGTTTCAGTGCATTTCTTATGCATTCCAGTTCATTTTCTCCCCTTTTTCTTCAATTTAAATAGGGACACGTTCAGTACAGTGCGTTTTTGGTGCGTTCCGGTGTGTTTTTGATGCATTTGACCGCGTTCCAGTACAGTTCTGTGCAAGAAAAATGAAGCCTGTTCTACTTTTTTTTTCTGCGTCCGGAACGCACTGGAACTGCAAGCACTGATGTGAACGGTGACACTGACAACCATATAACCTACTTTCTGTGCAGCAAAACTGCAGCCTGCTCTACTTTTTTTTTCTGCGTCCGGAACGCACTGGAACTGCAAGCACTGATGTGAACGATGACATTGACAACCATATAACCTACTTTCTGTGCGTTTTGGATGCAGAAAAAAAGCAATGAGTGTAGTGTGAACTGGCCCTTAGGGCAGTATGTACCCAGGGATAAATGCCCGGAATGCAGACTGCTTGCTATTTTTCCAGTATTTCCACGGACTACAAAACACCTCCCCCGTTATAGGGAAGAGAGGGAGGTGTTATGTAGTCCTAATAATCTCCCTAGTAGGGTGACAACGCTGATCAGTACGGTTGTCACCCTAGGACACGAAGGGTGGTAATGATAGGATTAAATAAAGGAAACAAAAGGAAAAGGAATGCAGGCAGCACATCGAAGGACTTGCAAGCTGCAGTTCCAGGTGTCTCTGTTCTTGGGGTTTAGATATGCTTTACCTATAGAAGCCCATGTGGCAGTGCCGACAGCAGGGGCGGACTGACAACTCATGGGGCCCCCGGGCAATAGGGGATCATGGGGCCCCTGTGTCCTTGCCCAAACTCAAAAAAGCCTATGAAAAAGGTACCAGGGGCATCTCATGGGCCCCCTACTGACCCCGGGCCCTCGGCAGTGCCCGAGTTTCCAAATGGTCAGTCTGCCCCTGTCCCACAGTATGCTCAGGAAGGGAGATCCAGCCAATCCAGGGACACTCTGCGGATACAGCGACGGACCTACTTCCAATCTCACGCCGAGGGACCCAGGAGCCGTGCGCCTCCATGGTGACATCCGTGTTACATCGGCTCCGAGGTTTTCTTGGCAGTCGCACACCGCAGGGATTTGATTGCAGACAATCCGACAGGGACAATGCCGGAGGCCAACATTTCCAGGGATACGTCTTGGGAACTTGGGAACGTTCCTGGAAATCGGAGAGCTGGGGACTCTGATAACGTGAATCCACAGCGCAGAGCTGTCAGCGGTCCCTGATTTAAAGAGACAGTGCCAGCTTTCACAGATACCTCCCGGGAATTTTATGTGTCTTGTATAGATCAGCCGTGCTACAATTCCCTCCCTCCCCGCACTGTAGACATTTCATGACATCCACCAATGATCATTTACATTTTTCTGTACATAGCCCCCCTCACTCTCTAAGTGCCCGGTCATACCACGTGCAACTTGCCTTGCCATGCCAGTTTAAAAATCGCACGGCAAGTCCCACCCGATTGTCCACCATTAAAGCATCCTATCATCGCGTTCTATCGCTGCGATTCCCACTTGGTCGGAATCGCACCGATTTTGAAAGTAGCGCGTACACTACTTCGGGTGCGACTCGCATAGACAAGCCACAAATGTCTCACAAGTCGCACCTGAAGTCAGAACGACGTCCAGCTTTGAAATCGTGCGAACTCACTGGAGGTCGTTTCATAGTCGTTTCAGTGTGACCGGGGACTAAGACACTATCGTGCATCAGGAGTTCAGCAGCTCAGCAGTGAAGCGTCCCTGGAAGTAATACAATCGCACAGAACCCTCACTTTATGACAGTATCGCAATATCACACTAAGGCGGGGGTCATACCTGTGCAGTTTGCGTTTGATCCGTTCCTGCAGGGCGTTTTGCACTTTTGCACTTGTGTTTTTGCTGTGTTTTGCTTTTTTTTTTTTTTTTTTACATTTTTCTTGTTGCTAGGCAGCTTTAAAACACAACGCATCAAAAACGCAGCAGAAGCGCAGCAAAAATGCGCTACATGCTTTTCTGCAGCATTCAATTGAAGCCTACAGAACCAAAAACGCAACTTCTTGCATTTAAAAAAGTCCCTGACCCTTTCCAAAAAACGCACCGGGTGAAAACGCTGAGATGTGAGCCTGTCCCATAGGAAATCATGTGAAATGGACTGTAGGGCGTTTCTGCAAAATGCAAAACGCTGCGGAAAACACACAGGTGTGAACCTAGGGTAAGATACTATTGTGCATCAGGAGTTCAGCAGCTCAGCAGGGAAGTGTCCCTGGAAGTAATACAATCGCACAGAACCCTCACTGTGACAGTATCACAATATCACACTAAGGCTGGGGTCACACCTGTGCAGTTTGCGTTTGATCCGTTCCTGCAGTGCGTTTTGAGCTTTTGCACTTGTGTTTTTGCTGTGTATAGCTTTTTTTTTTTTTCATGTTGCTAGGCAGCTTTAAAATGCAAAACGCATCAAAAATGCAGCAGAAGCGCATACAAAATGCACTACATGCTTTTCTGCAGCATTTCCATTGAAGCCTACAAAACCAAAAACGCAATCTTTTGCGTTTAAAAAAGTCCCTGACCCTTTCCAAAAAAACGCACCGGGTGCCATAGGAAATCATGTTAAATAGACTCTAGTGTGTTTCTGCAAAATGCAAAACGCTGCGTAAAACGCATAGGTGTAACCCTAGGGTGAGATACTATTGTGCATCAGGATTTTAGCAGCTCAGCAGTGTCCCTGGAAGTAACATAATCGCACAGAACGCTCACTTTGACAGTGTCGCTATATTACAGCAATACAGTCCCACCCAGGACTGCCAACAGTCCCTGATGTAGCCCAGGTTCACACTGATGCGGTGCGGAATTCACAGCATTTTCTGTGCAAATTCCGCACCGCATCACAATCGCACCCTGTTCATATGAACCGCTGCGGGTGTGTATGTTAATTTAACAACACCCTGAAATCGCTATGCGAAAAGCGGTGCGATGTGCAAAAATCGGATCGTATAGGTGTGAATACTCATGTGATCCGATTATAGTGCGGACCCAAAAAAGGGTCCTGCACCTTTTTGGTGCGGATGCGGTGCGATGAAAGCCACACAATGTATGGCTCAAATCGCACCGCACAGAATTCGCACAGGAATGCGATACGGTTCCTATACGAATCACATGCGATAAGCCGCACCACACAAGTGTGAACCTGGGATTAAAGGGACAGCGGCAGCTTTTGAAGATATTTAATATTTATATTTTTGAAGATATGTCTTGGAATGTTTTTAGTGCCTGAAAATATCTCCGACATTCCCTATTGATCAGCTGAACCAGATATCCCTCCATTCCTGTCCTGATTCATTTTTCTCTGATTGATTATTGATCAGCAGCATTTAAAGGCTGACAAGGGTTTCTTTATACATGCTTTGTGTTGAGTCATCCAACTTTCACCCAGGATTCACACATTTTCCAATTAGAAAACTATGGGAAACTAACATTAAGCCCCCAGGTCACATCAAAGCCGATTTTAAAATCGTGTGACTTGCAGTGAAGTCGCACAATTTTCAAAATCTGGTGACCTGCCGAGATCAGTTGCAATTTGCAAGATATCTGACGCAGATGTCTATGAAAATCGCACCAAAAGTGGTGCATGTACTACTCTGGAAATTGGTGCGGCTCTGACCAAGTGGGAACCGCACTGATGTGACCGATCTAATAGAGGACAATAGGACAATTCCTATGCAACTTGGCATAGGAATTTTATATCGCATGGCATGCAAATCACATGCCAAGTTGCACCAAATGCGACCGGGGTGTTATAGGTAAAGTTGATCCAGGGAATATCCGATTGCCTCTCGGGGGATCAGAAAGGATTTTTTTCCCAGCAGGAGCAAATTGGATCATGCTTTGGTGGGGGTTTTTTTGCCTTCCTCTGGATCAACTGTGGGTGTAGGATTACAACTTTTTTTTTTTTTTTTTTTTTTTAAATGGTTGAACTGGATGGACTTTTGTCTTTTTTTCAGCCAGACTAACTATGCATGCACATGCAAATGCAAAAAAATAAATAAATAAATACTTTTTTTAAAACTGTAATCAAAAGACACTTTATTGAACAATTTCAGTATTAAAAAAATGGAACAGCAGATGCCAATGCAGCCTGAAGTTGTCAATGTTCATCTTTTATTTCTTCTGGATCAACTGTCAGTGTAGGATTAGAACTGTTTTTTTTTTTTTGGTTGAACTGGATGGACTTTTGTCTTTTTTCAGCCAGACTAACTATGTAACTATGCATGCACATGCAAATGTAAAAAAAAAAAACATTTAAAAAAAATGTTTAAAAATTAGAATTTTTGGTTATAAACTAATTTGGGTTATTATTTTTTTTTACTAAAAAGATAATGGAATAACTTTTGGCCAAGATTTATGAAGAAAGATTATTTATTTGCAAAATTTTATAAGAAAAACACTTTTTTTCAAAATTTTTGGACTTTTTCATTTATATAGCAAAAAATAAAATCCCAGCAGTGAATAAATATCACCAAAATAAAGTTTTATCTGTCTCAAAAAAATGATAAAAAATTCATATGGGTACAGTGTTGCATGACTGCGCAATTGTCACTCAAAGTGTGATAGTGCTGAAAGCTGAAAATTGGCCTGGACTGGAAGGGGGTGAAAGCGTCGGGACTGGGAGGGGGTGAAAGTGTCGGGACTGGAAGGGGGTGAAAGCGTCCGGACTGGGAGGGGGTGAAAGCGTCCGGACTGGGAGGGGGTGAAAGCGTCCGGACTGGGAGGGGGTGAAAGCGTCCGGACTGGAGGGGGTGAAAGCGTCCGGACTGAGAGGGGGGTGAAAGCGTCCGGACTGGGAGGGGGTGAAAGCGTCCGGACTGGAAGGGGGTGAAAGCGTCCGGACTGGAAGGGGGTGAAAGCGTCCGGACTGGAAGGGGGTGAAAGCGTCCGGACTGGGAGGGGGTGAAAGCGTCCGGACTGGGAGGGGGTGAAAGCGTCCGGACTGAGAGGGGGTGAAAGCGTCCGGACTGGGAGGGGGTGAAAGCGTCCGGACTGGAAGGGGGTGAAAGCGTCCGGACTGGAAGGGGGTGAAAGCGTCCGGACTGGAAGGGGGTGAAAGCGTCCGGACTGGAAGGGGGTGAAAGCGTCCGGACTGGAAGGGGGTGAAAGCGTCCGGACTGGAAGGCGGTGAAAGCGTCCGGACTGGAAGGCGGTGAAAGCGTCCGGACTGGAAGGCGGTGAAAGCGTCCGGAATGGAAGGGGGTGAAAGCGTCTGAACTGGAAGGGGTGAAAGCGTCCGGAATGGAAGGGGTGAAAGCGTCCGGACTGGAAGGGGGTGAAAGCGTCCGGACTGGAAGGGGGTGAAAGTGTCTGGACTGGAAGTGGTTAAGGACTACTCGGTCCCGTTCTGCCGTCACTTTTCTATGCTATGAATAGATCAGGACGTTTCCAATTCTGTACAGCCCGGCACATCTCTATTGTGCGTCTCGAGTTGAGCAGTTCAGCAGAAAAGTGGATGTGCGAGTCTTGGGTGAATGTTGAGTGAAAACATTTAGGAACAGACCCTAAGCACAGAATTCTGTAATAGCCTCGACCTATTAGATTGTAAGCTCTTCTGCGCAGGGCCCTCCTAGCCCTCTTGTATGGTATTGTCCCCGGACCGTCTCCCTGCAAACTGTTGGCTCTATATAAATCCTGAAGAAGAAGAAGAATTCCATTCATTTCCTCCACAGGTCTCAAGGACACTATTGTGTATCATGAGCAGCTCAGCAGCAATGTGGACGTGTGGGTCTTGGGTGAAAATTGAGTGAATCTTGGGTGAAAACATTTATTAATGGACCCCAAGGTTTATCCTTCTGTACATAACCTCTATGGATCGTTAGAACACTACTGTGAATCATGGGTTTGGCAGCTCAGCAGCAAAGCGAATGACTGAGTTGTGGGTGAAAGTTGAGTGAGTTGTCGGTGAA